ATTGGTTTTTAATTCTTTTAATGCAAGTGGATTGCAGAAGCTTTTCTAGGGTGTAGAAGACACAGCAGGAAGTTTCTCAGCTCCAACAAAAAGCTAAGTACAGTATGCTCCTAAATAAATCACACCTTTACAGATCTAATACCCACATAAAATCAACACACAGAGCTATGGATTAAACAGCATAAAGCCTCTCCATCCTGTACTATTCACCAGAATGCAGGGATAATTAAATGGGCAAATGAACAGCACAGACAAGACCTCCAAAACAACAGGACTGAAAATTATGAGCATAAGACAACAGACCATTATCACATGCCTATGAAAGGGGCTTCACAGATTGTCAGCAGAGTAATGCTGATTCATACTGGTACATCTCAGTCTCTTACTTCTCTAAGATTTTTTTGTAACAGACAGCTCAAGCAAGTACCATTCTAATCCTAAAGGCTAAGCAGGGTGATACTTTTTTTAAGGCAATTAAAAAACTTCTGATGCAAAAAAAAGTCACTAGTGCCTCTTTCACAGAAGTCTCAAAGTCTCAGTGGTTGCAGCATCCTTACTGGAAGCAAATCAATGTTCTTGCCAGAGTGACCACTATTTAAACAAAGCCATTTGTTCTTCCTCTCCTCATGATGCTATCTTATCACAGCCCAAGTGTTTTATATCAGCACACTGAAATGATGTGTAATGAACAAGGATGTTCAAGATAAATTTTGAGAGTCACAAAGCAAATACTTCCTTTCTCTGTAAACAATATGACTGAACCCACTCCTTGAAGAAATCAAGCTATATTTATATTCACCCTCTTGAAATGCTACAGGCAGCCATAGAAGGATAAGTTTATAATAAATTGCTATATTTGGAAACCTTTGTTGCTAAGCTTCTTCTAACATTCAGTACAGTTTATACCATTCATGTCCCTGCTACATAATTAACATTTCATATGTTTTGGTTTTTTTAAAAAATAAGTACAGTGCTTATCTTTGCCAATAAATTAAAACCATTATAATTTCGGGGGAATTAATAAAAGACCACGTGGCAAATTAAATAAAAGAGAAGCATCAAGGTCATACAAACACTGACATTATATGCCAGGATATGGCAGTCTATCTTCTATACACGCCTCTGCTTGACATAAAACAATTCAGAAGCCAGCTGGTCACACTAAAAAACAGTCTACTAAATAATTTAGGATACAGTAGACCTCTCCCAACCTGAAGAATATGACTTTCTCAGCTGCACACATAAATCAGCCCTTTTCTTGTCAAGAATTCTCTGTGTGAATCCCTTGGATGGCATTCAAGTCCTCAGGAGTCTACCAAGAGGAACCCAGTGCAATCTGATGTCCACAGGACGTAGCCCAGTGCCCAGCATGGAATCTGCAGGTTTACCACACTTGGCTATTAACTTCTGTGGAAATCATAAGTATCTTGCTAGGCAGTAGAGAATCACAGCAAAATCTTAATTTCTCCGGTGCAGCCACTGTAATCTTGGACACATGGATATCCTATAAAAATCAGTTTTGTGGTTTCATTTTTTTGACAGGCTAGAACTGTATCTTCAGTGGAGGAAAAGGAGAAAAATCCACTACTATTTTAAAAATTCAGCAGATAAAAATGAAAACACTCTTAGCTGATTATTATAAGCATCCCCAATGTGTCATGGGTTTTGGTCACAATACCCTGTTTGGGAAAGTCCAGATCACATTGCACAGATTCCCCAAGTTTCTTGTCCTTGTCTCCTCTCCCTGCCCATCCCATCATACACCACACCACAATTCTGTACACACCATAGTCATGGGGGCCTAGAAAAATTCAACACAAAATGGATATCACAGGCCTTCAAAATTCCCATGAAAATGCAGAGTTGCTAAACAGAACATGAACTTGCCTCTCTGAGCAAATCTTGCACTGGAGAACAAACAACTTCTGCCAAAAAAAACCAGTTGGAATATGTTTTATTCTACAATGGTTATTTACTTTCCATTAACAAATGGTCTTCAGAATTATATAGAAGGCAAACATCAAAGCTTTTATAATGAAGAATCCTGGGAAACCTGATTAGAGATGCAAAAGCCCTACAAATACTACATTTACCATGTTACTAATTACTACATTCTTGGTTTATATAAGCAGTATATACACAATACATGTGTTAAAAAACAGAGTTGAAGTAGAAAGATAAGGAAAGATGAGTCCTCTGGAAAATGATCTAAACTTTGTATTAAGAATATAAACATATTTAGCTTGCAAACTTGCAGTCTATCCAGTCAAAGATATAAATGGGGTATGCAGGACTTGAGAGTCTCCCACAGACCACAAAAGAAATGCAAGCAGCAAGCAACAGTAATCCTGTGCCAAAATCTGAACATGTTTTCCTGAGTCCTGAAATCCTTTTCCTAAGCTAGTTTCCACATTTCACCTGTACTTAAACACACATCAAGCTTGCATGTAGCAAAAATAACCTTAACATTTGTGAAAGAATTCTTAACTCAGATGTTGTCTTAATACCAAGCATTTTGGACATTTAGAAATGTGCATTAGTCGCCTTAACTGTATGTTTATACCATGCTTTATGATGTAGCATACATATATATGAAATGTTATGTTCAATTCTAAGGCCTACATCACCAAAAAAAGTTATTGACAAACTGGAGGCAGTTCAGAGAAAAATCAACACAATTTCTCAGAAGGCAGGAAGGACTTATTTATGAGGAAAGATTAAAAGAGCTAAATATTTATAGTCTGGCTCAGTAATGAATGAGGAGGTAGAGGACATGAGAAAAGCCAAGAGATATCTGAAGGGTGTAAACACTAAGGAGGGAGAGCAAACGTGTTATACAAGGATGTAAATAGAAATAATGGGATAAAACTAAACTAAAACAAGGCAAGCTTAGGCTGAATATCAGAGAGCATTCCTGGATAGCAAGCTAGCTTGGCCTACAGCAGAGTTTCTGAAGTGAAGCAACAGGAACCCATGCATCTTGGAACAACACAAAAAACTAGACAAAACACTGAAAAATTTGCCATATGAAGGAATCTTGTTCTGCTGAGGAAAAACAGTATATTATAAAAGTATTTGCTAAATTTAACTCCAATGGAAGCAGTAATATTTTACAAGGTGTTAAAAATGTAATATAAAAGACAGATAAAGAGCTTACCTGGAAAAAAAACCAAACAACTTCAACTAAGAACATTCCTTAATGATGAGCAACTTAAGTTCAGTTTATGTAACAGCTCGACTGACTCATGCTTGTGCAACTTGTTGAAGAGGAAAACTTCACGTGGGCTTCAAGGAGTTAACAAGGCGCTGGACTGTACTTTCCCCAGCAGAGGTCACCCCACGGTAACAAACGGCAGGGAAATCTGACAGCACGCATTCAAACGTAAAGAAAGAAGAGCAATAGGAAGGAGACATCCTCCTCCCCTCATGCCCACCACTGGCTTTGGATGCAAAGTTCCTGGATAACACCCTATGTCCTGCAATCAGTCACAGGTAGATGACTGAAGTTTTTTATCTATGCAATACTCTACCTGCACAACATTACAGATTTATTTTCTAACAGGTCCTCATGAAGTGGGTAAAGATCATCTATTTGCAGCTGGATTATGAATCCATCTGCACATGCGTAAGTAAAAGCCTCAGCTGGGTCATGTTTGGAATTGAAACCACAACACTTCTCACTGAGAACTTGACATTACATTAGTTAAGTGTTTACTGTTTGAGCACTGAGACACAGGCAGACTGACAGGCTTCCAAAAACACACTGGAAGGAAAATAAAAAGGGAGTTTATCTTTTTTATTAACAAATATATAAAAGCAGGGAATAAAAAATGTTTTCTAACTTAAAACAGAGTTTAAAACACAACTGAAGCCAAGAGGAAAGCACTAGAAAATGAATAATCTCATTTATTTTTCTTCTTGATCCATAAAAACTCCACAAATTCCTATTTGAGAACTATCCCTTAAAAATTCTACAAGCTGGCAAGCAAAGACTTTGCTGTTCCAGGTGCCATCACCCCTAATAAAGCATCTGTCATCTTCACAGTCAGTTCCGATGCAAGAACTATCCATGCTCTGTGCCACTGCCAGAGGAAGCTGCCCTGGTGCCAAAGGAAATAAAAGTAACCAGCACATGCAGCAAACTTATTTGTGAACCACAAGGGAGCAAATATGTGTAAGCAGGGTTGGATAGTCAGATTTTGACTCAGCTGTTTTAAAGGGCTGCTCATGGGCAGATTCAAGCTCCAATACTCAAACTGTGCAGACTCACTCTAGCAAAACCCAGGAACTGACAGAGCGTACTTGCAATGTTTCATCCAATGAAAACAGAAGTGAACTCACGCTGAAGCATTCCCTGGAACATACTGAACCCTAGCATGGATAATTCTGCAGGGCTAAGCCTGCTCCCAAGGCCAAGGGCCACCACGTTCCAGACTCCAGCTCAGGGTGTGCTCTGCAGCTCTCTCAGCTCCGCTGCACAACCTGAGCCAGGTGCACACATTGCCCTCACCCCTGCCAGGAGCTCCTCATCTGCAGGCAAATGGAATACAGGCACAAAATATGGAAGGGAGACACGGGAAACATCCCTGAGGCCCACAGCCTCCACATCCTGGGAACAAGGACCTGAAGGACAAGCTGTGCAGCCAGAGTGACTTAAGATTTTTGTGTGCAACGGATTGTCTAGAGAGTATAAAAACTCTTAAGCATGTCAGTTAACTCCCAAAACCACTGGTTTACTGAGAGCAAGCTGTCTAAGATCCTAGAAATGGCACGGGGGATTCCCCAGGGTTATTGATCTTAACACTGCATTTTCGAAGTTACTAATATTCAAAGAATTTTTCCCATTTGCCTGGGAAGAGCTTGGCTGCGTTTTCTTTGGCACAAAAATTAATAAAACCTCAGTGTTTCAAAAGCTATTAGTACAGACTGTGTATTTTTTTTTCTTCAATAAAGAGACCAGAATTAAAATAATACCGTAAATAAGATAAACAAAGACTTACCTGCTTCCTTGCACAACGCTGCCAAGTCTGCACCCACGTAACCATGTGCACTATCAGCCAGATGTGCCAACTGCTCTGCTGTGAGCGAATGGGGAACCTTCTTGAGAAGCTTCTGGAGAATGTCCAGACGGTCCTGGGCATTGGGAATTCCAATTTCTATCTCCTTATCGAAACGCCCCGGCCTGCGCAGCGCTGCATCCAGGGCGTGAGGGCGATTGGTGGCCCCAAGGACCAACAGCTGCCCTTCACTGCTTTCCTGAAGGCATCAAACAACACAAGATATTACTTTTAAAATACAATTAAACAGCAAACAGATAATACAAGAGGCACTCCCACTTTAATCCCCAAGAATCTGCTTTCCTAAATCAGGAAATTAGGAACCAAGGAGAGAAAAAGAAGTGTCTAAGCTAAAATGCAGCGCTGGCACAAGAACAAAACGGAATCAGCAGACCTTGAATAAACACAGTTGGGGAAACAAATCAGTTCAGGTATCAAACCCAGCAGAGACAGGAGGTTATAAAGCTTCCTGTAAGTCCAGCAGGAAAAGCAAGGTCAAAAATCCTAACCAATTTCCTCAAGCTCTGCTTCTTCACTTTTACAGTGAGGCACGATGAGTTAGGAGGTCTCCTGTAATGTCATTCTCTTCTTGTGAATGAAGCACTCTTTCCCGGAAGAATATCCATCAGCCTTTGCCACCAGAAAATATGATCTGCCTGTGAACAATTCCAGACTGGGCAACTCAAACTGCCATGCAGGAAAAAAAATGAGAAACTTGCATATTACATAAACAGAAGAAATTTATTTTCATACTCTGGAGAGAGTTCTTTCATCTTTCCTGCTAAAAATCATAAAACAATAGATGAGAGATTACCAAACTTTATGGGCTTAACTCATAATTTACTCAAGTCAATTTAAAATTTACTGTTTATTAGGCTTTTGTTTATGCCCTACATACTGTTCTGGCAATCTTGAAATAGCTGCTGTTGCCTTTAATCATGCAGCCTACATATCACCAGAAGTATTCTGATGACTTTGATTTCAGAGCAATTAGAAATACCTGATGGGTATTCAATGATGGGCTATCACTGAAATTTCAGTTTGATCTCCAAAACTAGAAGAGGGGTAGAAGGCAAAGGAAAGGCAGTGAATGGAAGAAACCTACTTTCTTTTAAACTAACAGTTTTCAGGAGACATTCCTCTCCTATATCCTCTGCTTAACATCCAAAAAAGCATTAGATTATCCTACAAAGTTTCACCTAAATGTGTTTTCTTTCCTCATAAGCGATACATCTCAAATTAGCTCCACTGTAGAAGCAATATTTTGTTCAGTGAGTCCCCATGTACATTAATTGCCCCATTAGATTCAACTTACTGAGCCAATGCCATCCATTAATGTCAGCAGTGAAGCAACAACTCTCTTTTCCACTTCATTCTGAGTCCCTTCTCTCTTTGGACAGAGTGCATCCAACTCATCTATAAATATAATTGAGGGGCGACTGACAGGAAAAAATAAAGGAAAAAAATGTTAAGGTGCTCAGGAAGATTTAAAACACTAAGGTAGAGGAAAGCTGTTCATGGAAAATGTCCAGTTCCTACAAAAACTAAAAAGCATCCCAATCAGAAAGAAAACAAAAATGAATACTATATTAGACATCTAATACCTTCAGTATGCAATAATCTTTTGCTAATGTACTATGAACACCAGTCACATAGAAGTCTAAAGTCTGCCTTAGCCGGGTCTAACAAATTTGGGCAAAATGACACCCTACTCCAGAGGAATGCTATGTCCAGTACTACACCAACTCATTTAGAGCTGGCCTCCAAAGATAAAAAACTAGAGGAAAATCTGAATCCTGGTGAAACTCTGGCTTATGCGTCCATCTGTTGAAATAAGCACACAATGCACTAATAACACAGTTGAGCGATTTGGCACCAGCCCTAATATCCCCTTAAAAAGGACAGTGTCCAAAAGGATTTAAGAGGCAACCTAAAATTTGACTGCTTTCCTCCTAGCTAAGCTAAACAAATTTATTTCCATTTAAAAAGCACAGGATGAAAAAAGCCACAGTGCAAAGCTTCTTGGAAATATTTTTCTTTTAAGAACACTAAGGTTGGAACCACTACCACAAATAAAATTCTCCGAAAGAACGTACCAGAGAGAAGCTTCAGCGAATATTTGACGTAACCTCGACTCAGACTCCCCATAAAACCTGTGAGAATGAAAATATTTTAATAAAAATCTTGCAGTTTTTATGTTTTCTAAGCAACCTGGAAAATTACTCCTTTTGAGTTACAAAAAGCTGTAGCGTACACTTTCAAAGTCCTGAAGTTTAGGCAAATCTACAATTATCTTTATTTCCACAAGGACCAGAAATTAAGGTGAAATGAGGCACAAGCAAAGTTAGAATCATTAGAGATAAAGGGAGCTGCTTCTCTTCTGTGTTAGAAACAATTTTACCTATAACCAAAAAATTACTTCTCTGGAGACATCGATCTGTGCAGTGTCACCTTATTGCAAAAGTAGCCCACAGGCAATTGCAGATGCAGTGCTAATCCTGCCTTTAATTCAGTCCATGCTTTACACAAATGTCCTGGCCAAGTTAAATAAACCTCTTTTAATACAAGGAACATAAGCCCTACTTGAAATAATCCTTTCGCATTTCTTTTTGACTCTTTTGGGCAGGTAACCCACAGCAAATACTACATCTCTCCACAATGGACAGATGCCAGGGCATATTCTGGGCTACTATATTTACAGAATTAATGCAAATAAAGTGGGAGGACTTACTTGCTTATGATTTCAGGGCCATTAATGACAGTAACGTGAGCGCCAACCTCATTTGCAATGGCCTTGGCAATCATGGTCTTCCCAGTTCCTGGAGGGCCATAGAGCAGCACTCCTCGAGGAGGAGGGATCCCTTGGGACAAACACATGCAGGCAAACAGAGAAAAGAAGTTACTGGTGATAAATGCCAGGCCCAGCCTGCACTTGCACATTTCACTGTCCCTGGTACTACCAATAATAACTTGGCCTCAGCATCAATTCATTTAATAGACATGTCATTATGATGAATTAGGCTTTCAGGAAAAAGATCACTCTTAAATGGGACATACATACACACCTTGTATTTTTAAAGTCCAAAAGATTGTTTAAAAACCACCTATTTAAATAATTTTATTTTTCAGCAGTTCATTATAATCTTCCCTATGTTTTCTCAAGAAAATTACTCAACTGAGTACCTAACATCCATGAATACACTTTGTTATTCATGATTCTTACAGTGTCATTGAATCAAATTTCCCACATCAGAAAACCACTTCTCTTCAACACTCCAAAAAGTTCTAGAAATGCTGTGAGGCTTAAGAGTGTTTGCAAGATGATGAAAAACACACATTAAAAGGATGAATTTGCCTATTTAATAGCCCATGTTAAGTCAAAGAGACAGAAACATTCAGGCACATAACATAAGGGACTTTGGAAAAACAAGGTACTGCTATGTACAATTGAAGCTGAGCAGAAAATACAGGTAAACTGCATGAAACAACTGTGATCCCAGGTAAAGAGCCCACCAAAGAAAGTTTAAGACCAGCAAAGCCAAATTAAATGGGCACAAAAGCTAAAAACAGAAGCTGAAAAATTAGAAGGCAAAAAGTAGAGACAAATGTTTGACAAAGGCCTGACCCCAGTACAAAAGACACCAGTGAAACCCAACCAAAGAAACATCAAGTACAACTGGGAATCAGACAGGGAATGATGCCTCAAGGGCATGTCCAAATCTTGTAAACTAATAAGAAAAACTAAGAAAAAAATATCTGGCCTCTGACAAAGGATAAATTATAAAAGCATCTCTACAGACAAATTCCTTCACACCAGTCCATTAAAGCATGTGCTGCTCCCTCCTGTGGCATTTCTGGCACTGGCAATACACAAGGTTGTGGAACCACAGGCTCACCTCAGCTCACTGCCCGTGATCAGCCAAGAACTCCCAACGTTTGGATGGGGGCTAAAGGATTGTAACTGCTGAGAAAACATCATCATCCATCATGTGATTAGTAAAGAATCTGCTCAAGCTTCAGGGATTAGGTCTGAAGAACACTGATGCTGAAGCAAACCCTGCTGCCACAAAACCATGTGGTGATGCTGGGGCTGGACAACTCATGATGGAGATGCCTCACACCACCCCACTGACACCTGTGGAACATGGCCAGGAAACAGCCCCCTGTGTGCTATGGAAACTGTCTCCACTGAAATCACCTCTTCTTTGAAGTGTGTGTGGGGGAAGAGGTCATAGAGAGAAATAAAGGGCCTCCAAGACAAGAGAGTAAAGAAATATTTATATGTAAGAGAGCCCTGTCTCACAGCAATGCATGCCTCAACAAGGAACACAGCCATTTGTGATAAATACACAACACAGAGTCACAAAAATCCTCCAAGTGTTTATATATATATTAGCTATAACTTTATGTATGGCAACAGTAATTGTATTTGGTTTTCCACCCTGTAATTCCATGCTGAACACACTGAGCAGTTTGAGTAAACAGCTCAAAAGACCTCCTTAAAATTTTGCAGGAGCACACAGAGATAAAAAAAGCAGAAGAATTAATCTGAGTTCTTCTCCATTTAAAAGATATTATTAACTGAGTCTAACAACACAGAATCTTATGACAACACAAACATCTGCCCCTTTCATATGTCCAAGTACAGAATTTTTTCCTACTTGCTATAAATTCTCCTCATACATGCCTGACTTTTGGTACAGACACACACTTCTTCCCTGCTTAACTGTTTCTCACACAGGCTAACCAGAACATCTTCACAGTATCCACACAGTGTAATTATAAAGCAGTTTGACATTGTTGGGACACATAAGTTAACCAGATCAATTACATAAAATTAGGTGCATAATCCTGGAGTATTAGTACTTAAAAATAAAAAAGTCACATTAAAGAAGAAAGTTAATGAAGTAAGCCAACACTCAGGCACCATACCATAACTCTTGAACAGTTCAGGTTGCTTCAAGGGCAGTTCAACAGTTTCTCTAATAGTTCTGAGCTGGCTGCTTAAGCCTCCTATCATGTCATAGGTGACCTGGGACTGACACTTGCCATCCTCTGCTACACTGGTCCTTGGTTCAACAAAATTGATTTTAGTTCTTGAAGAAATGAAGTAAAAACAATCTGTATTGCTCATTGCTCCCATCTTGCCAGTTAGTGTGAGTCCCTCAGTGCTGCCTTCCCCAGCCAACTCCAGATCTTGGGTGAGGTCTGCACCATCTCCCCTGCTGGTTTTGTCTCCATGCCCGAAGTCTGGAGCGCTGGGTGTGACTGGTGAGCCTGGCTCCACGGCTTTGCTCGGGCTGTGCATGGAGGCAACCTCCGGACTGTCACCAATGTCCATCCTGCTGAGCTGTAAGGACAAGTCCAAAGCACTGCCCTCCAAATCAGATCTCTCAAGGTCTGGCTCGTTGGAATCACCAGGAATGGCGCTGCCCTGGGCAATCAGCTCTGCACCGTCAGTCCCCTTCACTTTCATCACCACAATGTTGCAAAGTTTGCCGTAATAAGTGAAAGCCAAGAGGTTTCCTGGCAGGACTATTTTCCCATCTATGAGATGATTAAAGAAGAAAAAAAGACAAAGATGATGCTATTTCAATCTACTTTGGCAACAATTAGCACTCAGATAGTCCTGCATCAGAATAATTCTTTAGCAGGAAGCTAAGAAAGTGCTATAAATTAACATAAGAAAAGTAATTACAAGGTAATTTCAGGCTCTTTGATAGTTTTTTGCACAAGCAGACTCTACTAGATAAACATTTGTCAGTATCGTATGTGATCTCCTAAACTTAAACTCATTATTAATTTCAGCTTCTTAAATTTCATACAAAGGGAGGATTTTTGAATTAGTATTGTAAGAAGTAAAAATTTTACATTCACTACCTTGAATAACTTACCTTGCTTTTTTTTCCTTACTTACGTATACCTAACATCCAATGACGAGCAACTTTACTTATTTACCACCAACATAAATAAACAGGATTCAGAAATTGGAATTTCAAGTTAATGCTGATCCTTTAACTTGTCATTAACATGCAGCAGTGCACTCTTCCTCACAGTGCGAGTAAACTCTGGAGTGCACCACAGCAGCATCAGCCTGAAGGCTGTCAATGGCTGCTGAACACTCCTAACTTGAGCCATGAATACAAGTAATACACAGGAGAAATGGAACCACAACTAATGCAGATTAGATATTTGCAGCATGACATACTTAGCTAGCCCAGGACAGATCCCTGAACAAAGTGTGAGTAACATAACGCCCCCTATTTTGCCATAAGCCCTTGATTAAGAACATAAAAGGAAAATGTTTGCTCTTGTATCCAGAACTACAAAAATTGAACAGTTAAAAGAGAAGCAGCAAAACTCATACCAAGGTTTCTCAGCAGACAGACAGACATTTCCTCAGCATTAACAGTGGCATCTTTGTCCCTGTGGTAGGAAAGGAAAAAATTGGTTTTCCAAGCACTTCAAAACAAATCCACAGTCTTCATATCATATGGACTTAACCCTGACAATATTAGACACATAGTAACAAAAGAAGTGTACCTATTTAATCTAGTTTTGCCAAACAAAATGTTGTAATTAACAAAATCCTAAGTTGTATTTATAACTTCTTAGGATCACAAATAGGCAATGCAGCCATCTTACCTGTGCAGGCATGACAATCATTGCTACAGGTACTGGACTGAAAAGAATGTAGATCAGGCAGGTCTCTTTCAGCCTTGCAGATACACATGCACAACTTTTATGGACTGCAACAGTGCCTTGAGCACTTGCACATCCTCTAGAAAAACACTCCCAAGTTTTCCCACAAAGGATTTTCTAGTCGTTTAGTTAGCTGACCCAGAGCTAAGATTCACTTCATCCCCGTTTTGCAGACAGAAGCCCACAACTTCTGCAAGCACTCACACCCACACGCTGAGCACCAAGGGCATTTACAGCAGACGCAGCTGCTGCAACTCCAAGTGGGAACAACGGAGGGAGCCCTAAGCCTGCCAATGAAAGCCGTTTCTCGTCTTAAACGATCAAGAAAGCAACTTGATGAAAAACAGGTGTATTCAGCTAATTTAGAGGACACCTCTCAATGTATCATAGCCTTTCCTGAAGAGTAAACACACAGTTATACATTGTTTGGGTCTGGAGTTGGGGATTGATTCTTTTAAGTGGAGGAAAAGCTAAATTATGCAGACAAGCACTACCCAGAGGTGTTTAATTGGCAGAGAATGAACTACACCTGTAAAGCATCTAGAAACCTAGGAAGTACTTGAGCAATGAGACTTCAATGTATTCTTTTAGAAACTTATGTTTTTGCTTCTTACATGAAACTACGGCTCTCTGGACATCAGGAGGAATTTCTTCAGGGAAAAAAATTCTGTAAATGACTGCCTGGGAACTGTGATGTTTATTCAAGTGCTAGAACACTTTCAAAAGTAACCGTAAAGTAACTTTATTTAGGAAATAACTATAATCAGGCTCTACAACAATCCAAATCTGTGAAATGATAAGAGAAAGACAAAATTTTGAAGGGAACTGGTTGAATAAAACATCAATAAGGTTGTAACAGGTTCCATACCTCAACTTTACATCGACTTCCTCTGCCTGGATAACTGCACCGGTCACAGGCTGCACAGTGATGGCATCACCTAGATTTACTTTCAGGTTTTTCTGTGTGGTTTCAACCAGCCCAATTTTCCCCCCTGGGAAGCCTGTGGTGGGCCAAGCAATACAGACCTAGGAAGAGTTTTCAAAGCAAACACCTGTCAGTTGAGGTCTTGCCCCTCTCATTTCCAGTCAAGGTAAGCAATGCTTTAATATGAAGGACTAGGTTAAAACCTCCTTCTACTGAGCAAGACACAAGGGGCACTGAGCTCTTAAGATTTGATCTAAGATTTTTTCAAAATTGAAGGGGTTATATTTTGCCTATAAATGTGATAAAAAATTTCACAAAGACTCTGTACACATTCTGGAAATTACTCAAAAGCATACGCTATGCTGATCAGAAAATACTACGCAGCAGTGAAAAAATGGTTAACAAATAACTATACACTTTATTTGCAAGTAAAATAGATGTGTCTGCTTATGCAAGATATAATACATAACCCAGTTACTCACACACATTTATTCACATTATAAAATTTATAGGAAAAAAATCAGCTGCATGGATTTTTTCCAACACGGAGAATACTGATTCAACTACAGCGTAGAAAACACGGAAGATCATATTCACCATCTTTCTCAATGCATGATCCATGCTGATTCCATTGAATACAACAGGAACAGGCTAACAGCACGGGAAAAGCACTTACAGGATCAAGAAAGGGTCTCACCTCCTGCCGCCCATCAGCGGAGGTGAGCAGGGCCGGCCTCCCTATGCAAAGATCCGCAGCCTTCATGCTGCTGAGCGACAGCTGCGCCAGCGCTCTGCGCAGCATCTTCGGGACTTTGTCATCTCCTAAATTTTTCGGAAGGGAAAAAAATTAATTTTTTCTCCCGTTCCCCACAGTAAACCCAGCGTTTCCCGCGCTCCCCGGGAAACACAGCCGCGCCGGCCCTCATGCCGCCCGCCCTGAGGGGAGCGCACAGACCCCGTGAGGCGCCGCCGGCGGGGCTGGCAACGCCGCGATTTCGCCACCGCCGGCACCCTTCCACGGGGTGAGAGTAGGTTTCACGGGGGCCTGGAGTGAGAGACGCCCCCGGTCCCGCGTTCCTGAGCTGCCGGGAGAGTGGCTGGGCAGGGACTCGGATTCAAACGAGGCGCCCTCAGCGCGCCGGGCTGAGGCAGAGGGGCCGGGGCTGCCCGTCCCCGCCTCCCTCACAACGCACCTGCCTCCACGGCGTCGGCGACGCGCAGCACCAGCGGTCCGCCCGCGGCAGCGCCGAGGGGAGCATCCCGCGGGGAGCCGCCGCCCGCAGCCGGGCGCCCCTTGCTCTTCCTTCTGGAAGAGGAGGCGGACATGCTGCCCGCGGCCGGCGCAGAGCGGTTCCGGAGCAGAGGCCGGCACCGCCCCGGGGGCGGCCGCTCCCCGCCCCGCTCAGCGCCATGGCGGGCCCGTGGCGGGGGCTGCGGAGAGCGCGGGGCTGGGCGGCCCTGGCGGGGCTGCGGGCGAGGACGGACAAGTTCGGGGGTGTGAGCGTGAACCTGGGCGAGCTGCGCGGCTCCCCGCGGCTGGAGCGGGCCGCCTTCGGGCGGTGGCTGCGGGGCAAGTGCCGGGCGGGGGTCCCGAGTCCCGGGGGGCGGTGTGTGAGGGGCGGCGGGGGCCCGCCAGGCGGCGCCCTCAGCCGCCGCCGTCCCCTCACAGACCCTGAGGCGCGGCCGGGGGGCGAGGGGCGCTAGCAAGAGGGAGCAGAGGTCGTTCACAGAAGCGTAAAATAATTAGGATTGGAACGGGCCCCTAGAGATCATCCAGTCCGATCGCCCGGAGCAGGTGTGACAAACCACAGCAGGTGGGTTTGGAATGTCTCCGGAGAAGGAGACTGCGCGCCCCCCCTGGGCACCTTGTTCCAGTGCTCTGCCACTCCCTGTGTGGGGTTGTTCTTCCTCGTGTTGAGGTGAAACTTCAGGTGTTTCAGTTTATGGCCACTGCTCCTTGTCCCGTCACTGGGCACCACTGAAACGAGTCTAGCATCATTCTCTTGGCACCCACCTTTGAGGTATTTGGATGGCCCCATCTGAGACTCATTTTCTCCAGACTGAACAGGTCCAGCTCCCACAGTCTTTCCTCACAGAGAGATGGTCCAGACCCCTCATCCTTTTTGTGGCCTCTACTGGACCCTCACCAGTAGTTCCTTATCTTCCTTGTACTGAGAAACACAACACTCCAGAAGAGAGTTCCCCTGTTTCTCATGGCAGACCCTAAATGTAAAAGCCGTAATTTTGTACATGAACACCCAGTAATACCACATTAAATGTCAACCTGGCAGTCTGAGACTGCTGATGAGTTTCTCATACCAACAATAGTTTTACCATGAGGTAAATGACATAAAAATACAGATTTTTGCACATTACCCACAGCTATAGTGTATGGTAAAGTTTAAAGCAACACAGATCAAGAGCAAAGGACTCTCTCACCCTCCTCATTTCCCTCTCTTGCAGAGTCTGTATCTCAGTGGCGGGATGAAGGCCGTGTTGCTGTCTGGCTTCATGTCCCCATCCTCCAGAGCAGCCTTGTGGCAGTGGCTGCTTCCCAAGGCTTTGCTTTCCACCATGCTGAGCAGGGCTCGTCCACCCTGACGCTGTGGCTGGGAGAGGAGCCCAGCAGGCTGCCAGGGTTCGCCACACACCAGTTGGGGGTTGCAGGTGAGTTACAGGGGTGGTTGCACCCACAGAAAGTTTTGAAGGAGCCCTTTAGGAGCCCCTTCAGTAGGAATTGTTCCTGTGTACAGCCAACATATGGAAACCAGATGGTTACTGCATTTTGGAATGAAAAAGGCATCACCAATGTAGAGAAAAAAGCACTTCTCTGCTCTGTGTGCTTTATATGTATATCTGTCTAAACTATGTTCAAGTTAATGTCTGTATGTGGGGAAAACGACCCAACAGGGATTCTTCAGAAGCTAAAACAACTATTAGCCTGAATTGCAATGGTCTGAAAGCTGATCTAAGCTGTGCCTAAAAATCTTAAATCCAAACATATATTTTACAAAAAAACCCACAAACACACACTCTTATCCATCTAGACCTCCCACAGCTAGAAAGTTGTCCCATAACAGAAAATTTCCAAGGAGCTAGACAAGATAGTTTTGCCTTTTTTATTTTTTGCATATAGCACAGCACAAGGGACTGATGATGAGCCAAAAATACTGTCATCTTGAAGTTAGCTTCACAAAATTCTATTAGTTTTGTTCTCTCACTCAGCAGAGTTCCACAGATAAGCCATTACCTATCCCATCACTCAGTTATCTGTAATTGGAGATGGGTTTGGACCCCTCATGTACTGGTTAAGGGTTACATTAACACACAGCAACTATGAGACTGGGGAGAGCAAATCTCTCCAGTTGCAGTCCTGACTTGTTTGTCCTTGGCTTGCAGGGACTCTGTGGGGTGTAATTTCTCCACCAAGTGGTGTTGAAGGCCATAAACAGCAATTTGAAAAATCTAGTTTGGAAGAACTCACAAAAGATGGTTTGTTCTGTGTAGCAGCGGGTCAGGTGAAAGGAAGCTTGGGGAGGAAAAAACCCTTGAATTTTACAAAACACTGCTGCTGCCATCAGTAGTGGGAGTCTTCGGTTCCCAGGCCAGCAGAGGGCAGGGTGGATGCTGAAGGCGGCCTTGGAGTTTGTCAATGGACATGTTGGAGCTTGTTTTCCTGAGGTACGGAAACCTCACCGTTAAAATATGTGCCATTAAACTCAGCGGGACAGCGCATTCTCCTCGCAAAAGCACCAGGTTACTCCTTGTGAGGAAACTTAAGAGAAAGAGAGGTTTTATGAAGTAGAACTTGCACAGCTGAAAGTGCTGCTTGCAAGGAAATCACATAAGAGATGAGTTGTGACCCTGGTGGGCATCAGAAAGAGCTATAAGAAAAATAATAACTCTGAAAGACTCGCAAATACTGAAAAATACATTTTCAGAGTATAATTTGCAGCTGTGCTCCAAAGTAGGAAAAAACGTTAAAGAAAACTTTGGTAAATGCAGGTATACAGATTTCATAATTTCTTGTATGGATTTTAAAATTCCACAACATATAACGTATGTGTTCTTTGCTACCATTTTTCAAACATACACGCTTTTAGTCATTATTGGCATTTCCTTTAAAGGACATAAATACTGCAGGAAAGCATTCTAGGCAGGTAAACAAGTGTGAAATAATGACTCCTATGTGGGTTTTTTTTGTCCTTTGTTCTACTCACTGTCAGTGGATCTGGAACATACCCCAAAAATACACTATGCAGCATGGATACCACCTGGTAGGTTTATTCCATTATCTTTCTACTTTAGGAGAGAGACCCAGGGTAGTGGAAAGGGTCCGTTCTATTTTTAATTCATTTTCTTGAAATAGTAAAATATTTAAATACAGATATTGGGAAGGGGGTCAAACACAGGCTTTCTTTATTCCCTAACCAAAAAAGTATTTTAGCACGTGTCTGCAGTAAATAAAAACAATTTTCTGATGACAGTCTCCATCCCAAAGCTGTGGCCAGTCAGTGAAATGCAGGAGTTAGTCCTGTGAGCATCCTGAAATGGAAAGCAGGGATGTGGAGAGGGGTTGGCTGGCCAGCAGGAAGCCAGCACAGGAACACAGAACAGGTAGGAGTCTCATTGCCAAGTAGACCAGCAGCTGGTTTTCCTCCTGTCTGGAGTTTCCCACGCAGCAAACACAGCACAGCCAGGGCTTGTGCCTCAGGACCATGCAGCCAAGTGATGACAAAGGTGTGAATAAGCGGGGTCAGGTCATGTTTTACCAGACTGGATGAGAGTGGCCAAGCAGAGAGTAGCAAATGTTACTCATTGGGCTTGGCCATTATTGTTCAGAAATAGTGGAATGTGTGATGTGTCTTTCAGCTAAGTTACTACATCCGTTTGTAGGCGGCAGGATTTTCCACATGTGTAAAGATACAGAGGAGTCTCTGGTGTATGAAGTGAATAATGTGTTTTTAAAAAGCATTTCCAAAATGCTCCACCTTTGAGGAGGATGTGGCCTGCCATCCAGAAAGTGACATGTTTGTAAATATGCAATAAAATCCATAAAATTACATGTTTGTAAATGTGACATGTTTGTAAGTATGCAACAATGGAATGAGAGGACAAGCTGAGGAAGGAAAGTAAAAGGAGAGGAAGAAAAGTGAAAGGCATTTTCTTCCTCCTCACATGGTCTACAAGCCTTACAACACAGCTGTTATTTGCATTACTACCACCTTATCCACTTATTAAAACACAGTCCTTGGAGTTGAAGGACTGCAGGAAGGAGAGCCTACACACACATAGGATCATCAGCCTTGGCCAGTCCTGGTACCTAAGGAAATCTAAAATGAGCAGCTGCATTGCTGTGAAACTGCACAGGAAGATGGAGGTGGATAGGTTTGATAAGGCACTTATGAAAAGTGACTTAAAAATAGTTCCCAAATTGTTTTACAAATACCTGCTCCTGTCCGCTGATGTTTACAGTGCAAGCAGTGGTGTCTGCACTCATTCTGTGGTTGACAAGTGCTTCTCAACACTGAACATCTTTACATGCATATTTACATGAGTCTTAAATAAAACAGGTAGGATAAGGATGTTTTCCATTAATCATTATCTGGAGTTATCTAAGGGATTATTTTTACTTTTTAAATGCATTTCTTGCTTGTTCCCCAAAAGAGAACATTCAAACCAAGTAGTATTGTAATAATGATTACTTGGTTGGGTTTCAAGTATAAACCATTCCAGAAAATCCTCCTGGTGTTGGATGATTTAAAGCTCCAGGTACCACATTTGTAGCAGGTTTCAAAAACCAAAATTCAGGGCAGTCAAACTCTAATCTCACTGATGCCAACCAGGTGTGGCCCAGCAAGGGCACATGAGACCTGGCAGCAAATCCTGTTAATGTGTTTTCTTCCTTCTTGCTCTGGATTTAGGTATCCCCCTAAATATCAGCAGATAAATATCACTATCAGCAGAGATTCTGATCATATCACTGGGAATTTCGCTGCCAAAAATTACATCTACAGGCTTCAATTTCAGGGGAACAGAGGAAAGCAAACACACTTTCTGTTTGATTCAAACAGCACTTTCCTGCCTTCACCAGCCCTCCCTGGTGTCAGCAAACCCTTTGGCTGAATGGCTTTTCTAGAAAACAAACCTCCTAATCACAAAGTTCATCCTCCTTTCCTTTTGTTGCCTCTTTTAATCATTGCAGTAGTTGAACTTGGACACTGCTAAGTATTTACAGGAGGAATGAAATCATAAAAGTCACAAGCCACAGGGAGGCAGATATGTGACTACCCTCTTAAAGTATGTCCTTTGACATATCTTGAAGGAAGACTGGTACTTCCATCTTTGAAATAGCCTCCTACACATAACTCTGCCATGTATTATTAAAAAGCAGGATGTTTTTAGCTGGACACTCACTCCTTAATAATTCTTTCCTGTGGGTATACTTCCCCATAGCATTTTAAATCACATGTCATCACAGATGTGCCTGTATCCTCTTTCTCCTGCTGCAGAATGATGTGAGCATTTTGTTACCGTTAACCTCTAATTTGAAAGCCATGCATGACTGATGTGGAAAAGATCCTGGTAAGTTGCACCACAGCACTCGTTCTGCTCACCACAGTGCTCTTTAAAATCAGAGAAAAAGACCTGTTGTAAGGGAAGGACATTTTTAAAGTATGACCAGTGAGTATGACATAATTAAACATAAAAGCACGTAGGTTCCAGGAAGCAGGAAAACTTGTAATCTGTGGGACAGTCATGGGCTGTGCATGAAGACATAAGGAAAAGCTGCACTTCTCAGTCAGACAGGTTTTTTCATCAAATGAAAGTGTCACTTTTCCACCTGGAAGCAACACTTTTTGATTAAGAAGTTGACTCAGATTATGGTGCAGTTCCTGTCATGAGTTGTTAGCTGGGTAGTGCAAGTTCAGAGGTAGTCACACAGTTGAATATTATCTGTACTGTCAGCCCAGAGTACTAAACCTGGTGTTTTATTAACCCAAAACCACTCAAATCTTCACTACAGCACGTGGGGGCTTTGTCATGAATTTCACTGAAGAAAAATTCTTCCCCCTTAAGGGTGGCTTCTCAGCCAGAGTCACTGGAAAATTCTCTGTTATTTGAGGAAGATTACAGGCCCGTCTCTGCTGAATCAAGCAGCTTTGCCAGATGATTTGGGTAACCTCTTGATCTTGCATTCTTTAGTTCTGATATTAACACAAGCAAGTTTTCATTTCTTGTCTAATCTGGAACTTAAAAGCTGCAGTTATTTATCTTGGTACTGCCAACTTTGAATTTTTATACTTAACCTTTTTCTGATACTTTATTGTGCTGACAAACCCCTTTGTGATTCCTCCATACAAACCTTGCTAACTGTACATTAGGGGATCATTACACTTTATCAAAACATGTTAAACTTTGGTTGCTAGGATTGTATGATGTCCAACACTTTTCTGTCTTTTTCAATATTCTTTCTATACCAGGTGCTGTTCTAGATGAAAGAACTGGAAAGGTGTTGGTTGTACAAGACAGAAATAAGGTACATTTGTTACACGATTATAAAATAGAGTTCATTTAGATAAGCCTATTCTGTAATATAAAACAAAATATATTTTATTTTTATTCCAGTCCAAAATTGTGATAGTTAGAAGTTACTTCCTTGTACAACTGTCTTAAACACACCTAGCAACAGATTGCTGAATTCCATATTAAGGGAAAAACCCCCTCTAAAAATCAACAGCTTTGTTATAAGTGCAGATTGATTCAGCAGAACTAAGTAGCCTTCCTGGTTTGAGTTTTCTGTTTTGTCCTGTAACTGACTCAGGAGTCCATGATCTTGTGTTTGGATCCATGCAGACCTCTGGAAAATCCCCATGGCTCAAAACAGATTTTGAGAGAAGGATTCCAATTTGGTTTGGTTTCCAAAATTCCAGGCATATCTGTGGCTTTAAACAAGCAGTAGCATGGTTGGCCATGACCTGGAGACCACCTTGGTCCAGCAGGTGTAAAGATCTTTAATTCCTCACACAGGGAAGTGTCTGCGCTCACTGCAGAGGATGCCAGACCAGAGCGGTACTGTGGTGAGGGTGGCTCATGTGATGTGGCTTGAGGTCACCGAGCATCCATCACTGAAACATGTGCCAGCTTCTATCAGACTAACCCAGGTTCTAACTCAGCTGCTGCAGAAAGCTCTCAGGCTCACTGGTAGCTGCCTGTGCCACTCCATTCAAGAGACATTTAACCCCCATTATGTTTTCATTTGCAAGTTAAAGTGTTTCGTGTTAAAACTGCATTAATTAACTCTCTAAGAGAGTGAGATTAATACCATTTTAACATGAAACAATCAAATCCTAGCTAGGTGGACTGAAATACATTTGGATGCATAGTTTTCATTTTATGCAGTAAAAACTGCTGGAATCTCATTGGCTGCATTCTCCTGTCTTTCCTGAAATAGCAACTAAGACTTTCCTCATCAAGACCCAAAACATCAGTTCATTAGGACCTACAACACAGTTAATGAACCTCAGTGAAAGTGGTTTCATAGGCAGGTTCAATCATACCACACGATGGGTTTCTAACACAAAAGACAAGGGTATTTCTCTTCCTCTAAAATTGTTTCCTGTAACTGAAGATGTTTATTTTTCATTTTTGTATTTTATATTTTTACTTACAATAAATTAAAATGTTGAGGATTTGCCTTGAGGAGGACCTTCAGGTTTTCATTAAGCAATTACCAATTAAAGCATAAACCTACCTCTTATACTGTGACTCCAAAAGTGGTTCCAGCTCCAGAGAGTCTCCAGGGACATAACAGCATGCTGTAAACATTAGAAACACAACATTTATTTACCCTTTTATACACAAAAATATAAATGTGCATGCTTACCTTTTAGTAAATATCTTGAACATATATCAGAGTAAAAAAAATTTAACAGCTGTTGGAATTTTAAGAGCTGTTTGGGTTTAATTGTGACAGGATAATTCCACAGCACACAAAGCTTTCCAGGAACTAAAAGTAAATCTGAAAGCCAATAGACAAATATATGTCTTTTCCATCTGCACTATTTTTAATCTATTACTTTCAATTCCTATCCAAGCCCTTTAAGAATGCCCAGGAAAAAAATAATTTTCCAATGTAGTCATTAGGGTTTTAAATCACTGGAAAGCACACAGCTTCCCTGCTATGCTGCATAGACAAAAAAAGATTTTTTTAGGCCAGTGTGCCTTTTTACTGCTTTTATTTCTAGGAGAAGGGTAACTTCTTCCTACATAAAGTTTTAACAAGGAGAGAAATAGAAAGTACACAGAAGTAAAAGTAAAGCCTACAAATCTTTGTGCTCTTGCCAGAGGTACAGGGACTGGGACTCCTTCAGCATTGTGAGTAACAAATCCAAGCCTGCACTTCACGTTTTAATATTGGAACTTTATTGCAAGTCAATAAATGTTTCTATACATAAATCACACACAAGCCCTCATTTCTTGTATTCCATGAAAATGACGAGTTACACTACATGATCATTACAGACACACAGAGACATCTTAAAGCCAGTGCAGTATAGAACAGTACAATCATAATACCTGTTTGTAAGATTAAATATATATACATTTTTTAAAAGCTGAAACAATGGAAGTGGAATACATTAGTGATTAAATATGAGATTATATAGTCTATAGCAGCTTTTTTTTAAATAGTCAACTACTCTATCTAGCAGCAACATTGTCTAATGACTGTTAGACTGTTCGTATTTTCAATCACTACGTTTTGTTCCAAAAGTTCTTAGAGACTGTAGCTGTCTCTAATCATCTTGTCAGCAGGAACAAATTCCTCCTTACTGATATTTGTAAAATAACAATACTGCATCTTCAACAATAACAAAAAAAAGTTATGTTAATTGTTAAGTGTTAATTGTCTCCTTCATATTAAAGAGTGCAACACAGGCCAAATACTTTATTAATGGATTTTTCCTCCAATGCAGACTATAAACGCATGGAAATTTCCAGGAGGTCTGTCTAATCCAGGAGAAGACATTGGTAAGTTCTATGAGAACAGGTCAGCCATCAACAGAACTATAAAGACATGAACACCACTGAAATACAGCATGACCCACATTGCTCCTGTGATGGATTGTTTCCTTGAATTAATGGTGAACAGATGGAGTGATGCAATTCTGGGACCCTATGGTAACAGGGTAGCATGTTCAGGACAAAGAAGTTTTGTGTTTGTAACGTTTACTCTTTTCCACACTTTAAGTGAGTGCTTGAGGCCAGCTAAGTAGGCTGGTCAGATATGCTGCAATATGAGCCAGAAGTGCAGAGGATTAAGGTAATCCATATATAGCCCAAATAAAACTGAAACAGGGAGCTCTCAGCTCACACTGGAATCCAGGGCAGTGACCTCAGGGATGGACTGAGCAAAAATTTCCATTCCAATAAATGCACTTGCTTCCTTCCACCCCTTTCACTTAATTAGTTTGGACCAAGAGCTCCTTGGCACAGGACCAGGGTGAAGTGCAGGGCCTCAGACTTGTGGGCACCTACTCCCAACAGAGACATGAAGCACTCCTATGGTAGGAAACAATGCTGGTCTGAGAAAATTTCTCATTTCTCTTCAACACAGCACAGCTGATGAACACTGCTGCAGTTTATCTTCACAGGTGAATGAACAAGGCTGTTTTCTATGAAGAGAGAGATAATCTAGGTTTTTCCCTCCTTGTATCTCAACCCTTAAAATCACGATCCATAGGCTGGTTACTTCTTTAGCTGGGTGTTGAGCCCAGGTTTCCTGACTGTTCCATACCTTAGAAATACCTAGTTTTAGCAGTCTCCCTACAACAATGTGTGGTAGGGTTGTATTCCAGTTATTATTTCAATACATGGATAAAGTTGTTGGTTGTCAGGATATGGCCAAGTTTAGTTTTCGTAATTCATGAGTCATGTTTTAAGTCTTTCTGTCAAACCTGGTGATGGAAATCAATGGATGGAAAATTGTCCATGGAAATTGCATGGACAATGCAATGTAACATAGTGAAATGGATCCATGTTTTCAAAAGAATCACAAATGCCATAGCTGTTGTCTAGCCAGGCTCCTTCTCACTTCTAGTGCCAGCAGCAGCAGCAGGATTTTTGAACTCAAGGGAACAAAAAATGACCAGCACTGGCATTCCAGTGGGATTCCCCAGAATGATCCTGCTACTGAGTACAACAGCAGCCATGCCTCACTTAACAGGCTGGATTATGGCTGGAGCCTGGACCGAAAACCACCCAGGAGAAAAGTGTCTTACAGCTTCCCTCCTGCCACTTCTAAACTACAGAACAAAAAATGTTACGATTCTCTGCATCACATCTTATATTACAAGAAGATATAAATAATCAAGCATAAAATATAATAGAGCCTAATTTTCCTTTTTCATTCCTACATCAAACCTTAAAAACACAAGTCACTCAAGGGACTAAATTGTAAATTACATTAAAAAATGCAATTACATTGCTTAAAATCCTTTGGTTACATGAAGTGACAACATGCACGGCTGCCTACTTAAATGAGTGCAAACTGAGTCATGCAAGTGACACTAATAGTTTCATAATGCAGATTAAGCAAAGTGCACACATTTTTGTATCTGAGTATCTCTGAAACTCCAGCCCTAGTGTTTTTTCTAGTTTAATTGTCATTAGATATTTATTTATATATATATATATACACATACACTCACATTTAAATAAAAGGGAAACAGAAATTTGCACTTCATCTAAAGGCAAAGCTCAAAGCTTACATGAAATCCGTCATTACTGCCATTTTCTTAACTACAGCCTGCCTCAGCATTCCTCATGATCTCAGTTCACTTCTGTGTAACACAGCTCCTTGCCCACTAACAAAACCACCTGCCACAGGGGGTTACTATTTTTAATAGCTGAAACTACCCACAAACATCTTTTTTGTTCCCCTCTGACTTGGCAAGATGCAAGCTTCCGTAGGATGGTGAATCTCTGCAAGTCTTTTAAAATGCATTTGCTTTTGGAAGCAAGCCAGCACATGTTACTTACTGAAAATGAACTAACAGGAGCAGGTAACATTGCGTAACAGTTCTGTACATTGACCACTCAAACCAGAGACGGCAAGGAGGTTACATTTGGGAAAAGCCAGTATTTAACCTACCAGTACTTGACCGAGGCAAGGAGGATTTGACTTGACTACAATGAAACTGCAGACTTTGGGGAAATCGGTGGAATATTAAAAAACTTCTTCAAATTGTTATTGATGAGAAAAATATCTCTGGAGGAGTTCTGGATGAATGAGCGGTTGTCTGGCTGCAATTGCAGCACACAGACAGACCCTGTCGACCCTGAAAGGTCCTGCTGCATTTGTGGTGAGGAATGTTAGCACTGACCTCACTCTGGCTGGGGCACACAGAATGCACACATGCAGCATGTTTACAGCATGTTTCCTGCAAGAACAGGCTCTGTGCTGCACTGGTGCTGTGGCGTATTTGAAATGTTACCTGACTCTTATGGTACATCTTACGGCACCAACTTTCACTTTCTGAAAAGAGTTTTATCCATTTTGTTAGCCCTTGGGGTGAAGTGCAGTGAAACTGATCTGATCAAGAATTCTGACATCAGTATAGGCACAGCTGCACACGGTCTGAACCCAAGACTGGGCAGGGGCAAGGACAGGGATGAGTATCCAAAGGACTGCAAAGACAGTGTCTTGGATTAACAGACCAGTGGACTCAGCAGCCATCAGTGTCCATTACAAACCACACCCTGCACAGCATTACCAAAGTAATTCTGTAGGATATACACAGGAGAGGCACACAGCAATTACTGTTGTTTGGGAATCAAAAAATTAGCTTATCCTTGTGTTGGAAAAACAGACCTACATTCTGAAAACCTTATGAGGCAGCATAGAGAACATGCTGAGTAAGACGCTTTCCACATTTCCAAAAGGTTTAAGGAGTGCTAAGTTACTCTCAGATGTACTGCAAGGATTGCTCTTTCCACCCAGGAGACACAGCAGTTCGGGAGGTTTTTGAAGAGACTGGCATCAAGTCAGAGTTCAAGTCCATTCTAAGCATCAGGCAGCAACACAAGCACCCTGGAGCCTTCGGGAAGTCAGACATGTACATCATCTGCCGCATGGAGCCCAGCTCCTTCCACATCAGCTTCTGCCAGCACGAGTGCCTCCGGTGCGAGTGGATGGACCTGGAGGAGCTGGCCAGGACGGAAAATGCCACGCCCATCACCAGCAACGTGGCCAAGCTCTTGCTGTTCGGGTACCGGGAAGGGTTTGATAGGATTGACATAACCATGAGGGAGTTCCCAGCTGTCTACACAGGTCTGTTCTACAAGCTCTACCACAGGGAGCTGCCCGAGTCCTACAGAAACATGACATGATAGCAATACATTTCACATTTCCTTATAGTAATAATTTAGAATTACTGCAGTGTTGCATATTATAGTTATCTGTGGACTTCTTTTTATGTAATTATTAGAACATAGTTATTCTCTAATAAGCTAAGATATAAATTATTTTTAAAGGTAATTATTGCTATGAGTGTGCATCAGGTTTGTTCTTCTCTACTCCATAAAGCAAGCATAAGGTAAATAAAATACAGAGGTACCTAGAAAAAAACAGAAGTGTTACTGATGCTGAAAATATATTCTGCAAGTCATTTTACCTCCACACACACTGGCACAATAGGTTTAAAGAGCAATATAAAGACAGTATTAAACATTCATGGTTTAATCTGGTATCTGCAAAAGTAGTTGTAATATCAGCAAATAATTGCTTATATTTGGCTACTTTGGAGAGGAGCAGGGAAGGCGACATATTTAGTGCTGTGTGGTGCTCAGAATCTGCCATGGAAGTCAGCTTTTAGCAGACATAGGAAGGAAAAGGATAGCTTTCTGTCCAGGTCCAGTTTTTGGTCCAGGTTTGTACTGTCCAGTTCTTTTCAGTGCCACATACCAATCCGAGTATTTCCGTGACCGGTAAGTGTTATAGTTATTGGATTCCAAACGTTCAAAAAAGAAACATTCTTCTGTTGCATATTTCTAAAAGGGAAAAGAGAAAGCATTACTGGTGTAGCACCACAAATCAATTCTTCACATTCAGGGGACTAACTTAGCAATAATGTGAGCAGTACCTTTGGTTTTAAGAAATAGAGATTAACTGTTTCATGACTGAGGAAAGATACTTACTGTGAAAATATTGTTAAAAACAACTACAGAAGAAGAGGTTTTTACCTATGGTTCATTTATTGTCTCTAACACAGATTAATCAGCTTTTCATTTCTTATTAATTACTGCGTAATCGTTTGTTCTGATCAGAAAATGTGTAAAAGAAGCCTTTAAGAACAAAAACTTTAAGCAGAATATAGACAATTCAGTACAATTGCCGAAGCTGGAAATTCAGGCAGAGGCACATCAAAAAAGGGTGAAAAAAGAAAAGTCCCTGTTTCTCCCCAAAGCATGTGTGACACCAGTGCTTTCCTATAATCCATTGTCAATGTAAACATTTTGACGCAAACTCCATGATTAAGGTGACAAATGACAGCTCAGGCTTCATGAACTGTGTATTCCTTAACATCCCCCCAGAGGTGACATTTCAGGAGCTGGACTGCTGTCTAGCAAGAGCAGAATGCCAGCCACTGCACTGTCAATCTCAGGACCTGGAAAAACTCTGGATATCTGTGGTTTTTCCTTTCAAATGCACTTCAGTTCAGGCTGCATCCAGAGTGCAGATCTAGCGGTAGAAGCTTTCTCAGCACCTCATGAAACACCTGAACTCTGCTCAAACTAAATGGAGGTTATTCTCACAGTCTTTGAGCACAATTTGAATCCATAACATCAAAAGACAAGAATTTCCCTTCAAGTGAAGTCCTTGAAGTCTGGCAAAACCTGGCTGATCACAGTGAAGCCATGTTAGCATGACAGAATGAACAGGTCATATCCTTAAATAACAAATTATTTATCATAAAATACAAGTCAGTCAAAATTCTTCCTTTCACAGGAAGTTTGGGAAATTTCTTCATTAAATTAAATAATCACATTTCATTTCATAAAGTGAAAGTATTTCATAATTAATCTGGAAAGTCAAAATAAGCCATATCAGATGGGAGATATTTCCAATCTTTCATCAAAAATCTGCCAAAACATATGCATTTCTGCCAAATATTTTCAGTTAAAAGAAAGGAGAGGTTTTCCAAGGAGAGGTTTTGACTATCTGCATTCACAACCAGCCATTTCCCTCCATTTCCTCTCCCCCATGACTGAGTCTGTTAGTAAAGAACATGAAAACGCTCAATTAAAAGCCAAATCATCCAGATTTCCACACAAGAATGCGACCCGTGGCACCCCCACGCAGGTCACCAGGGTGAGCAGTGGTCCATGGGCTGTGCAATAAATCATCCTGCAAAGCCCAGCTCAGAACAAACCCTGCAGCATGTCTCAACAAGTAATTACAAAAACATCCAACAAGATGAAAAACAGGCCTGAATAAGAATTTGCAAACATATTTCCGAAAATGTTAATTTATTTGTAAAACAAGGACACTACGCAAATTGACCCTGGACACTGAAAAGTAATTTAAAAACCCCAGACATTAAAAAGGACAGAATAGTACTTGAGTGGCTGATGGATTAGAGGACTAAATTATGTGTTTAGAAATTAAAGTTCCATAATGTTTTGAAAGAAATTTTAGCAGTGTTTCACCATGTGCAATTCACCACAGACATTTCCAGTGTACACTCTTTGCAAGCTCTTGTGAAACACAGCCGTGCTCTAACTGAACAAGAGATGCTGGCAATTAGAGACAGTTTCTTGAATCTGTTTAGAGGCAGAAAATAGTAAAGGCACAGCCAGCCACAGACTGTTGGAAGTCACAGCACAGAAATCCTCATGGAAAAACATTGCCAGTGCTACAGAAAACAGTCATGAAACTGCAGCAGCGTTTGTTAGGCTGGTTGGAGAAAAAAAAAAGTCTTAAAATAATAGAGTTTTCACCTATGAATAACAACAATGTTGCATGCAGTAAACATGATTCAAGTAATACCTATTTCCAGAAACAACACCAAAGAAATAAGAGTTTTACAAGCTCAAGTGAAAAGAACAAAGTGACCCAACTTTACATATTCTGAGAGAGTAATTCCGAGTGACTGGACGATACTTTATGAGCATTTTGTCTTACAGGAACTAAGCAAACAAAAACTCTTGTAAGGGAAGCATATTCTAAAACTAAGCCCACCATGCAGCAGCAGGTCAGAAACCCCAAATATAAACACATCCCTGTGTTTATGTTTATCATTTCACAAGTGGTGCTAAACACCCTATTATGACCATTCCCCACTGGAGTGCGATTAGAATGGGAAGCCGAATGCCACCACACCAGCACCACAGGAAATTCCCAATTATCCTTAATTCAAGAATAGCACAGTGGACAACTCCTCACATTTTCTTCAACTGAGCTGTCACACAATATCTGAGTAACTTGAAGCAGGTTCTTTAACTGCACTCCCAAACCCACACAAAACTCCCTGGAGCCAGAACTGAGGAGCGCCCTGGGGAGCTCTGCTCCTGTAAAACTACTTTCAATCTCATTTCATGGAGGCAGAGGAGGGGAATCAGAAATAATTTCGGCAGCCCTTGGCACGGGCCTTTCATTAGCTGCAGTTCAGCCAGGGTTAGGAATGCACATTGTTAGCCCCAGCCACGGAGCAGACTTGCACAGAGGCTGAATGGGGTTGTGTGATTACACAAAGCACCAGGGGCTATTGCAAACCGGCAGGGTCGATGCTCTGGTGCTTCACCAGGCACTGAAGGATATAAATGTGAATGAGGGATTTACAGTGTCTAGGTCTCATAAGCAAAATGAATGTAACTGCAGCTCTTAAAGCAAAATTTATCATCTGGCTCTCAGAGAGATTGACTCTCAGTGTCTGCTGCACACATTGGCTTTAAAACATAGTTAAAAATTCAGCTGATACCAATAAAACACACAAGAGTTTAAACTAAAACTAGTCTCACCAGAGAGCAGCGTAATTTACCCACATTTATATAACTTTTAAAATTTTATCATCACATTTTCAAAAATATTTTTTTGCCAGCTTTCTAGTTAGGAAGTAGAAGTGCTGAAAAAAACTTGATTTTCTACAAAGAGGAAAATGAGAAAATAATTTACACAGATTAGTACCATGACAGTAATTTTTAAAAGAAATTGGCTTTACTTTCCCCTTCAAAGAGGTCTTTTAAAATCACTTTATGTGCAAGTAAGTGAAAGAGGAAAAAATTACTCCTGAGGGTAAAAAGGCAGACACTTTATTCTTCATTTGTTTTTATAATTTCCTGATCATGTGATTTTTTTTTCCCCTCTCAGACAAGCCATTCTGTATTTCTGTTAAATTTTGCAGCTCCTAGGTAGGGCAGAAATACTCAACTCCTCCTAATTCCTATTTCAAGTAACTGATAAAAGCTGTGTAGAGCTCATTTCTCCTGATAAATCCCACACAAAGCAGCTGAGTAAGTCCTGCAGAAGAAAAACTGCCCCACACAGAGCAAAGGCAGGACACAGCAACACAGAGACATCAGGCAAGTGCTGCTTACCAAGGCCAGCAATCTGCCATCCTCTTTCATGGCCAGGAAGCGATTGGCACTGACACCTTTGATGGACACCACTCCTCGTTCCTCCGCCTGAAGCTGCAGCTTGACTGCAAACAAACAAACAAACAAAAAAGACAAAATATTTCACAGCCATCGTGGGATTGCAGGACTTGACAGTCACTGCTTCAAACCCTCTGTCACAGAAAGCTTCAGCCTGCAATGGAAATAGTACATTTTCCACCTTTGGCTTTCTGATCCCATTTTTACAAAGAAAGTAGCTACACTCAATTTGGCAACGGCAAGATTGAGTTATTTCATCTTCATTTTGCATAAAGGCAGCTTAAAACCCATGAAATTCCTAGAAAGGCCACTTATGGCATGGTCAGCTGCTTCCAGAAAATAGAAATTTTTCATGGCAATTTTTCCAGAAGTATCTCAATGTTTGCAGAACAGCATCGGACACTGAACGCGTACAGCTCTGTACAAGCAGCCTGTCAGCGAGCCTAACTGAGACTGTTCAAGTCCATATCACTCCCTAAGGGTTCCGGCAGTTCCCAACAGAAAATATCCATTAGTTTACCTCATCTATCCAACAAGTGGTTGGAACAAACAAACAGAACTGCAGCACTAGGTGAAGGCAGCAAAGGCACAAGAAACAGTGTTACAGCAGGAACAAGTTTTGTATCAATTAAAAGAAACATTTTATAGAAATGAAAACTTGTAAGATGCTATCACAAAGCTTTTAGCTACTACCTGTAAACTATTAGCACAAAGCCTTAGCTGATTTCTGTAGCCATAAATCAAACCCAGTACTTTGGTGAACACATGAAAGCTTCCCCTTTTGCCTGTCTTTGCCTGTTGTATACAACATCTCAGACGAGAGCTTAGTTCACCCACCTGCTTTGGTTCAGCAGGTACTTTACTCCATTTGGAGATGCAGTTTTAAATAGCTTGAGCTTTTCAGCCATCAGAATAAATGCCTGAAGTGAGTGTAAATTTTGGAGAAGGAGCATCTCTTGAGATTCAGAGAGAGGTTGTTGCTTATTTGGCTTTTTGTAGAAGGGGGGAAAAAAGCACTGAAGAAACCAACCAAAACTCCAACACCAGGAATACAGAGAACATAAAACTGTTGGGATAGTTGCTGCAAACCCTTTTGCAGGGTAAAAGTTAAAAGCCAGGTGCAATTTCATCTCAGAATCGAGTATTGAAAATACAGCACTCCCAAGTTATGAGGCCAAAATCAGACTTGTGAACAACTCCAAACACTTTGGTGTAACTCCTTAGCCTCCAGGGAAGCAAGAACGTGTAAGAGTGCTCTGGGCAGGGACTGTGGGAAATAGACTTTTGAGATGTGCCAAGCACACAGCTTTCACCACACACTTAACAAGAAACAGCTGTGGAACATCTGAAAATTAATATTAATTACTACAGTACTGATTTACTATGCTTCGTGACTTTCTCTGGACAAAAACGCACACGAAATCCTACAGCATTACACTAGGCCAGAAGTTCAAATTCTGTAAAAATAAACTTCTGGTAAAGGTTTGTAAGTCCTGTAAAAATTTGTTTAGCTTGTGAAAAGAAAAAAAACCCCCAAGGTATTCCTGCAGAGTTTGAAAAGAGCTACAATACTGAAAGCTCCAAAAGGAATATCAACTTCACTGGGTTTTCCTCTCCAACTCCAAAAGCACATGAACAAACACAGCCAGAACAGTACTGTGAGTTTTTCAGGTTTCTGTGTTATTTTACAGCTTTATTAATGCAGTGTGTATTTGCCACAGGGTTACACTGAACTGGAGATGCCAAGATACAACACAGCCTTACTGATCAAACCATTTTGACCACATGATCGTCAGCAGAAGTGACAATTTCAGGTTTAGCTCACTGCAACTAAATTGGTTGTAAGATAAATGTATCACTTGACACCGATGATCTGCATCTTTTGCAACCTTTGGTCACCAACAGCAACAGTGCAGACTCCATTCATCATTTCACATCTAGTCCCAATACTTGTTTTCAGCACAACTGAACCTCAAGACCCCATCCATGAAAGTCAAATAATTAAGACATTTTTAGCCTGAAAAAAGTAGCAGATTGTTTTAAAAGAGCTCATTAACCAAGGGCTAAAGAGGCTCATTTTCCCAGATATTGTGGCCCATCTAGCATGGCAGTGAGTTATTTCTCTGTTCCCATTCATGCTTTGCAATCCACAAAGAACGCCAAGCACAAGGCTCTGCTCATGTTGTGAGAACACAGAGCTCACCTGCTGAGCAAACATCCCCAGAACTGGGGCTAAGTCAACATTAAGTTATTAAATTAAACAGTAAAACTAACTCAAAGGACTCAGGAAATCTACAGCTCCTATTAAGGACTTTCTTTTCTATCATAATAAGCTTAATAGAATCATTCTGCTGAGTAAGAATGAATGAATTGCAGGATGAACATTTGCACTTTCACACCAGTGGAGAAACTCTGAGTGATGTAGTTCAAGTGTACCTACAGTGCCTTCATATAAAAATGGATGGAGAGGGAATGTCTTTTTCCCAACAATACACAGAGGTTCTCTTAGAGATTCATATTCACTGATGTTCTGGCTGAAAAACACCACAAGCTATACAGTCCAACCCAAATTTCCACAGAAACCAGTACAATCTGTGGCACTAAAGGAAGCTGGACCACACTGCAACAGGCACTGAGATGTTCTTTCACAGGATATGTGGCCAGGACAGATGCACAAGCTGCAGGTTAAACTAAACAGTGTATTTCAGGAAGTTACAAATGGGCATTTATTTCACAACTTGGAGAAACTTTTCTAAGAATATGGAAGTTGAAAAGTGGTATTTAATAGCATTGTGGTTGGCAAAGTTTCAGATTTCTGTTTAAAAATTGGATCTTCCTCATTTTCTTAGAGACCTCAAAAAAATTATTTCCAAGACAGTTTTGCACAGTCCAGTGGAGAAAATAATTTTAAGGACAAGTAGCTAAACAGGAAAGTTGTTAGCAAATGCAGAGAACAAAGAAAACATGAACATTTTCCAAAAGTACTTTTATTGTCCTGAGCACTAGAACTGGAAAATGGCACATACAATGCAAACTCTCAGGTCCTTCCTTTTACAGTTCTAATAAACCAAAGCTTTAGAGTGGCCCAGATCCAGGAACTGCACAACTTAAACGGCCCCAAAAGGTTTCATTGCTATGCATCCTAAACAGATCAGCCAAAATTTTCCTTCAAAATCAGTTCATTTCAAAGACCTGGGCAAACCTACCAACTTAATATGTCAGAAAAACAGAGCTGCACGTTCTGGAAGTTGCTCACTGCTGAGCTGGTACTACCTTTTGACTCCTAGTGGGAATCTGTTGGCAAGCCCTTTGCCCGGGGCAATCCCTTCGACCAAAGCCACATGCTGGTATTTCATTCACAGCAGCTGCAGTGGCTAAGATGTTCTGGTGCAGGAGAATGCCACAGGATCAGTAAGGAAAAGGGAAAATAAAGGTTACAGGGAGGAGAGAAAGGGACAGAAACATAATAGGAATAAAATAAAAGGCAAACAAAAAGAGCAAAGAGCAGTGAAGACAAGGCAGACTAAGGGCAGTATAGGAGGGTGCTGTAATGGAGGATGAGGCAAACTCACACATCTGAAGAAGGTGGAATTTGAGGATGTATTAGCCAAACAGATTAATAAAACCCTCCTTTTCCTACTCCTCCACAAGGAAATGGGGACTCTAACCACTATATCAAAGAAACCCTGTAAAAACCAACTATAAGCTTCTGGCTTTGGATGCATTTACACAGCAAATAAAGGTTTGATTACAGCCTCAGCTGTATTTTCACTGTAACCCTTCTAGCCAACACCCTACAGACAGACTTCAGTGCAGACTAGAGCTACAAGTACCAGCTCCAGTGTCAGGATCACACAGAAGTCAGGTCAGAAGGACTCTCTAGTCCAGCCTCCTGCTGAAGAGATTCCATCACTTCACAGTGAGAATCCTGCCTGCCACACTGCAGCTAAGGGAGCAGCTCACAGCCTGGGAAGAGAGAACAAATTGGATATTATTTCAACCCTCGTTTTCACTAATGTACAGCTGCTTTATTGGAACAAAAAGCAAAACACCTCTCAGTTTATGAGAAGGGAGAGTTTCTGTACCCCCGAAAATCCCAGGCTGCACGTCTCTGGATCAATGACTAGTGTTACTACAGTCTGCTGTGGAAAAGCTCAGCCCCAGCCAAAGGCTCAGGGCCCATCTCCAACATATTTGCAGAGGCCCTGTAAGGAAAATCCTTCCACAAGGCCCCCGAGTGACAGTGTGGTGAAGCTGCTGTGCCAGTTCCCGTTGCCCATCCTCCCGCACCTCTGTGCCCACAGGAAAGCACAAAACAGCTATTTTTAAGTCTTAGTGCAGAGGTGGGTCAGCTCCAGAGGGAATAAGCATCAGAAATGCAAGGAAGTTCACCAAAAAAAGAGGGGAAAAATAAGACTCAACAACGTTTTGCTAAATGCAACACCCTACAGCCAAATTCCCACTCCGCCATCCTCTGTGGCTGAAGTTGGCCATTCCTTCACACTCAGGGGCAACATCTATTCCCAGCCAGGTGTCCAAGCAAAATACAAGGAGTCAGACGTGCTTGCTCCACACCTAATATGACAAACCCTCCCAAACCCAGGGGCTGGTTCAAAGCTACACATGAATTTACAAACACGCATATTTTAACACCTCCTTTCTCGCTTTTCCTGCCTGCTGGATCAGATCGAAACCCAGCCTGGTGATGCCTACTGTAATTTTCTCTAAGAATTACAAATATCTTTGTGTCCCTCTGTCCCACATCAGTCTCTGACAGTTTCTGATATCTCTTTCTCAAAGATACAATTAGCAATTTAACATCTTCTGCTATTTGATAAACACTGACATACGAAGCATCCCAAAGTCTTCAGACTGTAAACAAGAGAACAACTCCTTGCTCGCTTTCATACGCTTGTGGTAAAAATGAGCCACTGCCAGAGTCACTGATGCATACACTGCCTAAAACCTGGAACACATATGAGGCAGCAAAAGGAGAAATAGAGAGAAGAAATAACTAGGAAACCTTAGCAGGAGAGGTGGGCTGCTA